AATCATTATTAATAAAATTAAAGTGAAAAAAGAAAGTATTTCCCGAGAGAGAGAGAGATTCTATCATATTAATGGTTAAAATATTTGTTTAAAATGAATGTTCAAAAATATTAATGATTTTGAATTTTGTAATATTTCACAGAATTTTGAGTTTTTATTTTTAAAATTTGATATTTTGTGAGTGCTTTTATTGTGAATGGTTTTATTATTAAGTATTACAGTAATTACAATACAGAGCTAATATTGAATTTTATAAAATTCTTAAATTATAAATTTAAAAGCATCTAGTTTTAGCTAGCATTTACAAAGATTCTAGTAATATAATTTTTATATAATTATTTTATTTGTAATCACATGTGTATAGTGTTTAGCACAAGACATTAAAATATGCTTTTTATTACACAGTAAATCAATATTATTGATAAAAACCTATGATTTGTGTCATTCATATAAATGATAACTTAGGATCTTATACCAATATTTAAGTAAAGCTTTTAATACAATATTTTGATTCATCACATTTTGCATTTCTTATACATGAAAAAGTAATTCATTGAGTTATACAACAAACAAATCATATGATATTATGAATGTTTTCAATAAAAAGATATTTTTGATAACTTTTGACCATTTAATTGAAATGTAAATCCAATTTGTTATTCAATTTTTACTTATTTTTCAATGTCGATCATGTTTATTGAATGATATCTTTAAATGATTTTAATTTAAAATATCAATCATTTATTTCAATAAACAATTTTTATACAATATAATGAAATTTATTTAATTAAAGATTTAAAATCCATGTTAAAAACATGAAACACATAGAAATTTAAAGAATATTCTGAATTTCTTTATTCCGTTATTTAATTAAATTCACAAAATGTTTTTATATATTACAATTACAACGTAAAACTTTAAATCAATTTATTTGATCACAAAAACCATCATAATCTATTGATTTGACCAATTAATACATGTTATTATTAATATTATTAATAACATGTATTAATTGGTCAAATTAATAAATTATGTTTGTTAAAGCGTTCACTATATAAAGTGATTTACATTTTGCCCATATACAAGTGTATTACTAAAACTCAATAACAAATGATGGGATTTTTGTTTACACGATTTCAATTTGAAAATATAAAATATTCAAATAGTTTCCAAATATTCGCAATTTATTCACAAAATACTATTTTATAAATTCTAATTGAAATCATTTTCATATTCTACAGACATATTGTGAGATATGTTGATAAACATTTGATTCGTGGAAATATTTACAAACCTGATGTCAATGAGAGTCAATAATTATTATCAATGTCTGAGCCCTTTGTTATGAACTGAAGATTTAAAAAACTTTTTCAATTGTGTTTACTATCTATTGATTGTCTTCTAATTATGATATAGAGTACAGTATGTGTTATACTGTATAAGGGATTATAGAGTAAATTACATGAGATCTGATCCCTTTGTGATATTTTCTTTTTCCAAACTTTTTTTAGTATCTTTTTCTTATTTACTTTATTTTTTATGCCCTTATTTTTGCGGTTATTCTTTGTATTAATGATCGTAAGTATCATTACTATAATATTAGCTGAATATTGGTTTCACTTTCTATACCATAAATGCATTACAATTGTGTAATTCTCATATACACTACAATAGCAAACCATTGGGAATCACATTTTTATTATAACATTAATTGATTAAAAAGACTTTGACTTCTCTTTGATTAATAACTGCAATCGTGAGCTATATATAAATTTTATTCAAACCCATACTTTATAACATTAAAAATTTTACCATAATTTATGTGAATATTAAAACAAATTCTGTCGACACGAAGAATATCTAACGAAATTAAAATTATATTAAGTTTGAAATTTGCTGAATATATACATTTATCATATTAAATTTGCTATGATTTTATTATGATTAATATTGTTTATAATGTATAATAAATTATATACATTTATTATTAATAATAAATTGAATTTAAATATTAAATTTGATTTTCAGATGGTAAAGATGATGATCACATGTGTGGCCACATTCACGCTCTGTTGGCTTCCCTTTAATTTGCTTATAATAGTTGGCGACGAATATAAAGAGATATATGAATACAAAGATATTATATACGTCTGGTTTGCATGTCATTGGCTTTCTATGTCTCAGTGAGTATCGCATCACTCGATGTGTTTATTTGAATATTACATATAAATGCAAATTCAATTATATTTTCGCAAAAATAACTAAAATCTTAATTAATGTTAGTTATAATTTATTTCAAGAATAAGTGCAAAGTACCTGAGAATTTGCAAAATATCTGTATTTTATATTAATATCTCCACATTTCTGATAATATTATTTGCAACTTTATGATAAATTAACAAAAAATAAATAAAACTACTTAAATATTAAGTGCATTTCAAAATCACTATCAAATTGTTTTTATTAAATATGTGCAATATGTATATATAGAGTACATTAAAAATAAATTCACTATCATGCAAATATATTACTAAGATGTCTTAGCCTTAGCTAATTATAATATATCTATTTTCAACCCGATTATAGCGCTTGTTATAACCCATTGATCTACATATGGATGAACGGCCGGTTCAGGGATGGCTTCAAATATGTATTCAGATTTCTACCATGTATTAAACGTACTCAACGGCCAGACTTTGTGAGCCCACACTTTGGCACTTCGGCCAACTCATCGGCGGTTAAGCCCAGTATGAGACGACTGAACACACATTTGCACAAAAACGGACTCATCCACAGCCATATCGAGGATCATAAAACTGTTTGTATGTAAATCCCAATACAATCCACACATCAAAACACAACTAACCAATTGTCACAATATTTTTTAATATTATATAATAATATATAAATCAAACTAAACTAAACAATGTATTAAATAATGATATTATTTATCGTTTTCAAGTCAATCGTATGAATACAATACTTTATTTGTGATAAACATTATATTTTTTGTTATGATTTATTCCCAATTTATTTTGATTTAATTAAAACATTGTTATAATGAATTTATTTAATAATTTTAATTTATAAATATATCGTATACATTGTATACTATACAATATCACACGATTTTTAAATGTGTATAAAATTCATTGAAATGTAAGTGTTTTTTGTTTAAAGTGTATTTTCCTGTATAATAAATCATTTTGTGTACAAAACAAATATTTTAATGAAAACCAAACCAAAGAATATTTACTCATAATATAATTTATTATAAAAATTAACAATTATTTATATATATTTAGTTTCATAAATTATATGTATAAATATACTTATGAATATTATGAATAAATGAAGTTTTATATTTATTATCTATTAATTAAATCAATGTTTAAAACTATATAATACCAAAAATTGACGTCAAAAAAGCCATCAAAATAATAGCAATATTCTGTATATAAAAATTGTAAAACAATTTTAAATTAAATTTATTGATTTTGTTTTGAGCCAAAGAATTGAAAGCATCGGAAATTGTGTTCATAACTAAAATTCAATAATATTTTACACTTAATGCTTAATATAAAACATGAATCCCTTAAACAGTTGTGACATTTGTTGTCAAATGCGGCAAAAATAGTAGTTCTTTGAACACAACTTTTGAAGACTATTTCTAACCCAAACATGTCTCTAATGGCTGTTTAATTGTTTTTCAACCAAAAATCAATACCTTTTGGACAAAAGGCAAGACATGTCTGAGAAGACCTTTCTATGAAAACCTTTCAAAAGTAGCATAAAATTGCTTTCAAACTAAAATATTCCTTTAATAATGCAATATTGATTATAATACTATTGACATCGTCTTTGAAAAAAGGATATGCAATATATTTACGCCCAGAAACTCTCAAATAATTGTTATATTTTAAGTTACAATTTTCATGGTAAAGTTACAACTTTACATTATTCAATTATTGTAATTTAATATATTGTAATTATTTGAATAATACAAATTCATGCCATTCTTGCGTAAACATAAGATAAAAATTGCAAAATATAAGCAATAAAACCGTTATTATCAGCATTTTTGCTGTTGTGTGGGTTTGACTACAACTTAACATTTAAACCAAATAATAGCCGAAAAGCTTTCGCATGAATTGAATTAAATTCGGTCAACAATTTTAAGCAGCTTTTAGTTTCATTGTATTGCTATGTCTGCTGAGCGGCTGAAAGTTAATTAAAAAAATTACTACTAATAATAAAAATTGCAATTATAGAAAATATCTAGATTGGTCATTTGTATATTTAACTAATAATAGCAAATTCACGGTTTTATTAGTTTGTTCACTTGAAAATGTACACTAAATACCATGTGCTAAACATGTTTATCATTGAATGGTCATTATGTTGACAATCCCTTTATCATTGACCTCTCATATCATATAAAACTTATTTGATTTCTTTGATTTGTCGGACAAAGAGATAACATCACAAACACTTGATATCCAACCCATTGTAAAGTTTATTGAGTCGTGAACTAAATCATTGATCTTCAGTTCATTTGACACAATCAGACAGAGATCTGAAAATAATTTTCCTTTTTATCATTTGTCACTAAATAACAGACAAAACATATTATGGCAAAAGTCTATTATATAAAAACTTGTTTGCCCTAGCACAATCTAGTAAATACACTATATTTAACCTTTAATTTTTTATACAGTTTTATAAAAGTTTATTTTATACCACTTTTACAATTAATCAGTTAAAATACAATTTAAGTTTTTATTTGAATATAAAGTCTTTATTTTGTAAATGCATTAATCAATCCTTTAGACATAGAAAAATACTTAAACATTTAAAAATGTTTTGATTTCTAGAACATTAGTAAGTGATATATTAAAGCATAAATATTTAATTAATATAATTTGAAATGTGAGGCAATTTAACTAATTAAACATTTCTATGACTACACTATAAATATTAAAATTAAATCCATTTTACAAATCATAACAAATGTATTGGAAATATGAGTTAAATGTTGTGTTAAATATTAAATTAGTTTTACAATGAATTTTAAATACAAGTTTAAAGGGATGAAAGTGTCGGCGATATTGTGTAGTGTTTTAACGGCAATATATTTTCAATGTGTAGTCATTTTATGTAAGGATTTAAGTGTGTCTGTTGTGGACAACATATCAGATGTAACCACAAATTCAACAGTTAAACACATTCTCATAAGTATGTTATGATTTATATAATTTAATTTGTTAATAATTAATAATTTATTTAAATAAGAAAACATCACTTCTTATAAATTAAAGTCAAGCAAACAAAATGCGAAAAAACTCAACAAGGTTAATTTCAATCGCATTATAAAGACACAGTTTGACACCATTGACACAAGTATTAAGGCATAATGTTTTGTATACAATTAACGAGTTAATTATTTTTAGTTTATTTACCTTTAATTAAGAAAATCTTCAAAATATATCACACAATTTGAATGCAATCGCATCGAAAAAAGACAAAATTGAGTTCAATCTTCCGCTGAAGTCATCGTTTGATAAATTTATATCAAGTATTAATGTTTTGTAAAACTATTTTACAAATTTAATAGTAATTTAAATGATTTATTTTAGTTAAAAAAGACAATTTTTCGCACGATTTTCCAGGCGATGGAAACGTTGCAAAACGAGACAAAATAATGTTCAATTCAGTAGAGAAACAATCATTTGATAAGTTCTTAATGAGTATAATATAATTTAAATGTTATTTATATTTAATTACTAATCATTATTAATAAAATTAAAGTGAAAAAAGAAAGTATTTCCCGAGAGATGGGAATTAATGGCAAACACGAGAAAATATCGTTTGACAACATTGACAGACCGTCTTTTGATAAGATTTATACAAGTAATCAAATTTTCTATAAAGTTTAATGCAATGGAAAATAAATATGTATTTCATATTAAAGCCAGAAAAGATAGCTTTGTTAGTAATGATGGAAATCTGAGTAAAAAAGACAAAATAGCATTTAATTCGTTGGATCGACCCGTTTTCGACAAATTTTTGACAAGTATTCATACATTATATCAGTTATTATTTTTAATAAACATTATAAACAAAACTATAATTTTTAGTTAAAAAAGATAGCATTTCACACGTATTGCATGACAGCGACGGCAATGGGACTAAACGGAAGGCCATCTCTTTCTCTTCATTAGATAAGCCATCGTTTGACAAATTCATGTCAAGTATTAATATTTGTTATGGAAATAAAATATAAATTAATGATTAATTATTATATTTAGTAAAAAGGGATAAATTCTCCGATGAATTCATCGGAAGTGATGGCAATTTGACCAAAAAAGAGAAAATCAATTTCAATTCATTAGATAAGCCATCATTTGACAGATTTATCGCATGTATTTATTTTTAGGTCAATTTTCTAAAACAATTAATTACTAATTGTTTTTCTTATAGTAAAAAAAGATAATATTTCTCATGATTTTATCGGAAGTGATGGCAATTTGACTAAAAGAGAGAAAATCAGTTTTAATGTCGTAGAGAAACCATCTTTTAATAAAATGTCCACAAGTAGTAAACTATTGATAATTAATCACTTGAAAATTGGTTCATTAAAAATAACAAATTTTATAAATAATTTCAGTAAAAAAGGATACTTTTGTCCACAAATTTATCGAAAATGATGGAAATTTGACTAAAAAAGACAAAATTACATTTAGTTCAGGAGAAAGACCAACATTTAATAAATTTACCAGAAGTATAAATGAGTAAAATATTTTACTTTTCTAAAGTGTTATAAATTACATTCAAATAATAAATCTGTAGCAAAGATGGTAAATATTTCCAATCAATTCATTGATGACAACGGAAATGTCGCTAAAAGGGAAAAGATTTCGTTCAATACATACAAAAAGCCAGTATTTGAGAAGATATTAAAAAGTATCAACAAATTTGTTATAAGAACCAAAATATAATTTATTTTAATTATTGTTCAATGATTTATCAGGTAATGGTTCCCATGAGTTCACTGATGGCAATGGAAATATAGTTAAGAGAGAAAAAATAGATTTTACTCTAATTGATAGGCCAACTTTTGCCCGATTTCAATCAAGTTAGTTTATATCACATTTATTGTGCAATTGCACACATTTATTATATAATTACATTTATTATTATTGCAAATCATAATGTTATTACTATTTACTACATTAAGAATCTATAATATAGCATAAATGGCAAACAGTAATAATGCTTTGATTTGTAATAATAAGTTATTTAACAATTAGTGAAAATGGATGGCATTTCTAATAAACTCATTGGAGACGGAAAATCAACTAAAATGGATAAAATAGTGTTCAATACATTAGAGAAACCAACATTTAATAAATTTACCACAAGTATTGATTAAATCAACTTTTAATGCATAATTTAATTCACAATTTTTACCGGTATTTTTAGTAAAGAAAAATAACTTTTTACACGAATTGGACGCAAATTCCACAAAAAGAGAGAAAATAGCGTTCAATCCATTAAAAAAAGTGAATTTTAATAGATTTGCAACGAGTAATGATAAACACATTAATTTTGAAAATATACTGCATTTTACTAAATATTATTTTGCATTAAAGTTAAAAAAGGAAATTTCAATAATGGAAATCTCGGTAAAAGAGAGAAAATGAATTTTGATCAAATAATGAAACAAACATTCAATCCATTTTCCACAAGTAATTTATTGACAAACTTTTTTAACAAATGTTGTTATGTTTTGCATCGCTAATCATTTCATTACAGGTGACGAAGATTTTATGATAAAGGATAAAATTGTTATTACCAATATTGAAAAGCCAGTGTTTGAGAAGTTTTCTAAAGGTGAATAAATTTAATAATAACTGAATGTAAATTTGCGATTTATAAGTTATAAATTATAACACATGTTTGTTTGTAATCATAGATATTAGTGAAGGAAATGACAGCTATAAGAAAGAAAAGATTATTTTCACATCAATAGAAAAGCCTACATTTAACAAATTTGAAACAAGTATTTAAATCTAAATATTATTTGTGAAATCAAAATTTATGTGACAATTATTTTGTATTTAAGTTAAAAAAGAAAACCTTTCAAATCTATTCGTCGGAAGCGATGGAAATCTGGCTAAAAAAGAGAAACTTATTTTCCAAGCATTAGAAAAGCCACAGTTTGATAAGATTACCATGGGTAATGTAAAATATTTTTAGCAAGATTACACATTAATTATCAATAATTCAATATAAAATATAGTTAAAGCTGGAAATTTAGCCGAAGAATTCAAAATATTTGATAGAAATTTCACAAACAGAGAAAGACTTGCATTTAATAAAATTGAAAAACCAGTGTTTTCAAAAATTGAAACAAGTATTGCATTTGTGTTAATGAATTGTATTTATAATGTATTTTCTATATTGAAGTGAAAAAAGAAAACTTTTCGCGTATTTTAGCGGAACTTTACGGAAAAATGCCTAAAAGAGAGCGGAATATATTTAGTGAATTAAATAAACCATTATTTGATAAGTTTGTCAAAAGTAATGCATATTATGCACCAATTATACATATCTTTAACACAATTATCATATGATATTCAGTGTCCGCGGAAAACATTTCCCACGATTTCAGTGATATTCATAACAAAATGAACAAAAAAGAGAAAATTATATTCAATAATATGCAGAAACCATCGTTTGATGAGTTTCCAAAAGGTATTCACTTTTGTTAAGGTTTTAATTAAATAATTACAATAAAACATTGTCTAAAATAATGCATTTCTCTATTGATTTAGTGAACAAAGAAAATATGAGATTTGATTTCACGCCCATTACTAGTAAATCACACTTAGATTCAAACCGAGAGTCGATCCGAGCGTTGATTAAAAATAAGGAGACATTAAACCGATTGCGAGAAAACAATCAGCAAATGAGGTCTTGGTTTACCACCGAAACCACTATAACTACCCGTCGGGTGAAAAAATCCGGAGAAGAGATCCGCAAAACCAAAACTCCTCTCAAGGTTAGCATTGATGAGACCGATACGAGTCCACACCCGAAGACTACTACTTCCAAACCTATCACAACTACAACCAAGAAGTGGACCATCAAAAAGGGTACCGCCGATGAGGACCATCCGGACAGTGCCCTCAAGATTAGTATAGACGACTCTTTAACGAAAGTCACGCTCAGAAAGAGAACCCTTACAAGAATTACCACAACTACAGACAGAGCGGTGACCGAAACGGACAATTCGCCCAACAAAGGGATATTAGTTGCGAATAAAAGGGAAAATATTAATTCAGATGCAGTGTTGGAAAGAGAAAAGTACTTCGATTACAACGATTTGCTCTCTAACGACACCACTTCGGGAGAAGATAATGAACCCAACTGTACAGTAGAGATAGATAGAGACGACGACACGACTACAACCACTCCTGTAGTGTCCATAAGTGTCACAACAACTAAAACAAAAGCGATCACAACTCGAGCCACGAAGAAGTCCGGGTCGGAAGACGATAAGCCGGACTCAACCCTCGAGATCAATATCAACGATACGGCCACCAGATCTCCGACAACCAAATTGCCGAAGACTACAAAAATGGACACAACTCGACAAGCAATAGACACTAAAGGGGAAGAAGACAAACCGGACGCACCCATAAAGATAGTCATCGATGACACGGTGTCTATCACTCCAAGAATGACAACAATAGTGACCACAACTCCAATTAAAGCGACGAAAAAACTTACGAACAAAACTTTGATAAAAGGCAAACCGGACGCACCCCTGAAGATAGTTATTGCTGACACAACAGCTACCACTCCAAGAGTGACCACAACTCAACCTATTGAGAAGTTTGTGCCTGAAGACGACGCCCCGGACTCACCTCCTAAGATAATTATCGAGGAGACATTCAAAATGGTTTTGAAAACATCTAAACCAATGGTCACTACAATTACACCGACAAAGAGATTGGCCACAGAATCGATGGCAACGAAACAAAAGTTTAAATCAGAAGGCATTCGGGAGGAATCGGACGAACCACACACTCCAAGAATAACGATAACACCCAAAGTGACCACAACTACCATAAAAGCTAATATAATAATCACGAAGAAGTTGGGATCGGAGGACGACATTGGCATCGATGACACGCCGTCTTCTACTCCAAGAGTCACTACAACAACGACTCCAAGAATGACGACACGACCGACAAAGATGTCTGCGGAGGACATTCTGGATTCGCTTCTTAAAATAGATATCGAGGACACGACTTCCACCAGTCCTCAAACGATCACACGATTGCCAAATAAAGTGATAACTATTCGACCGACAAAGAAGTATTCGGGAGAAAACAATGAACCCAATAGTCCATTAAAGATAGGAAGAGACGACGACACGACTGCAACAACCGGTCCTAACTTCGATTACAACGATTTGCTCACAAACGACACCACTTCGGGAGAAGATAATGAACCTAACAGTCCAATGGTCACTACAATTACACCGACAAAGAGATTGACCACAGAATCGATGGCAACGAAACAAAACTTCAAATCGGGAGGCAGTGGTGATGAGGAGGACGAACCCCACACTCCAAGACTGATGACAACAACCAAAGTAACCACAACTGCCATAAAAGCCAATACAAGACCAACAAAGAAGTTGGGATCGGATTTACCTCTCAAGATAGGTGTCGACGAGACGGCGTCTTCTACTCCAAGAGACACATCAACAACGACTCCAATAGTGACGACCCGACCGACAGAGATGTCCGGCTCTGAAGAGGACGTTCTGGATTCGCTTCTCAACATAGATATTGTCAACACACAAGTGTTGACCACGGATTTGACGACAACAAAATATAAATCCAAACTGAGAGACAGTGGTAATGAGAACAAACCCTACATTCCTCTTCAGGTGGGTATCGACGACACCACTATTACTGCCAGCCCTCCCATCCCTCGGATGACCGCAACAGCGACCCGATGGCTGACGAAAGCCGTTGGCAGCGATCAAAACGATAGACCACTGCCATTGCGGGCGAGAATTGACGGCACGACTGCCAGTGCGGCCACAATTCTGACCACATCTAAGCCCCGGACGATTACTCGTAAAATAACCACAGCCTCAGCTGCCTATCCGGACGCCCCTCACAAACAGGGAACAGATGAAGAGTTGACAGAAGAGTGCGACGACAAGACCACAGACACAGCGGTGACCGAAACGGACAGTTCGCCGAAGAATGGGATATTAGTTGCGAATAAAGGGACAAACCTTACGTCAGATACAGAGTTGGAAAGAGAGAAGTATTTAGATTACAACGATCTGCTTCTCCTCCTCAACGACACGACTCCTCGCAATACCACCGATAGTGATGTCTACACGACGTCGACAGTCATCCCAAACACACCTGTAATTGACGTCACATTTGAGGTAAGCTTTTTGTTTGTGTCGACGGAATGGGCTTTACATCGGATTACTGGCAAAGAAAAAGTAAAATCTCTTTTCTAATCACAAAAATAGATGACAACTGAAACAGAAGTCACAACTAATGCAAAAACTACGGAATCACTCACTACTACTACAACCACGACATCCACTACAACTCCTACCATAACGACCATTGAAACAACTATTCCCACCACAACAACAATAACCACTACTATTACTACTCCAATCATTTCGGGGCCGAGCACTCGGGCGCCCGAAATACCGGACGATGACCTCCAGAAATGGGTCAACGATATGGTGGCCATCACTAGACGTCCCGAATTGACGGGTGAAAAGGACGACCCCATCGCTCATCTCATCAAAGGTCATGACGACAACGATTTCAATGACAATCACACTATAAATTGGATAACACTCACACCCGAGACGTCAACAATGGCCAGCACTCGGCGGTCAAAAGCTCGGGATGAAGAGAATGAATCATTCATTTTGAATGATAATGAGGTTGACTTTATTGAAGGCGAGAATAATGCCAATCGCATCGCAAATGGCACCGCAGCTCAACCATTGACAACCATTACGAGCACTCGTCGGCCAAAGTTGTCCGGCGAAGAGGACAACCCCATCGCTCATCTTAACAAAGGTCACGACGACGTCGATTACACTGACAATCGCACGACAATTATGACAACACCCGTCACCTCACATGAAGACGAAGATCTCTTTGCTAATGATTTTAAGGTATTTGATGGATATAATCCAAATCACAGCACAAATGGGACGACAACTACTACTACGACAACAGAAAAACCAACAGAAAAGCCAATAGAAGAGACAGCTACTGAAGACTTGAGTTTTATCATAAATCCGGAACAGACGTCAATACCAGTGCTCACCACTACTCCCGCTATTCACACAAATAGTGATGTGGCGGACGATTGCGAGGGCTGTACTGAAGCTTTAAACTTAAATAACGGTTTGCTGTCGGCAACGGATCAGAGTCTTCGTAGGTTTGTTAGAAATCATTGAATTGATTACAAACTAAATAAAATAATAAAAAAGTGATTTCAGAACCAAAAGGTTTGCTTTCTTGAACGCTCCACAAAGTAGTGATCAATCGATATCACAATCCATTGGACACAACGGTGGAGACAGTGAGAGACACAGCAAACTGTTTATTGATAGTAATGCAAAGCAAACAACGAAATACTCAATGAGTGGTGTTATGTCTGAGAGAAGCGGAGACAACAAACAACAGGCCGTCGATGCGATCGATAGGAGTAAAAGCGATAATCAGAGCAATCCGTGTCGACTGACGGTCGCTGACATCAAACGGATCCAGGAATCGAAAACCAGTGAATACTATTCAAAGGAATGCCAGACATTGATTAGGAATTACCAGAATATCGAGACAACCATAAAGAATACAAAGATTGTCAACTCGTTGAACGCGATGATCGAGAAGGCCCGGGCGCAGGTGGACTACCATGCACGTAAGTGTGTGTAAACTATGTTAATCCTAAATACTAATGTAGTGCTAATTTATTTTTAACCCAAAAGCTCTCGCTTAATTTGTTGATGTTTTATTTACTGTGCAGACAGTAATACCTATATATTGACGTGTAAATGGTTTAAGACTACTGTATAAAGAATTGATTATAAATTGTGCACTATATTTGTATTGCTTATTGAAATTGATATGAATAAAATATTTACAAAAACCAATATACGTTTGAAACTATATTTATTAATCATTAAATCGGTGCCATTTCATTGTCCGTATCGATTGTGGCTCCGGACGAATCCTCACCAAAGAGTTGGACCTCCGGAACTGCTCTGGAAAATGCTATTTAATAAGAAATCAAATACTAATCAAACAAATTTTGAAAAATATCTTATTCTCTGAAATAATATTATTTCTACCAAAATGTTAATATCTTAAAAGTATATTTTTAGTAATTAAATACTTAATGGCAACAAATTATCTCATATTTAACTCGATGTTTGGCAATAATGCCAAAGCAGTTTCGGAGGTGCGACTCTTCGAGTGGACTTACTTTAATGGTTAAGAAATGATGAATAATACCAAGATCAAACGTATATATAATATCTTGGTTTTGTAAATTCTGTATTCATATCACTTTTGCTAAGCATACAAATCGAGTGAAACATTTATAATTGCAAACATAGTTAAGAGTCTTAACTTAAGACTATATGAGGATTCTGTAAAAATTTTCTTTCCTACTTAAATATCATTAAAATTAATGGGAATTTGTTTTATTAGTGAAGAAAATACTTTAAACACATTTTACATGCAATACATTAAGCATATAATGTCAACACATTAGGCATTAAATGCATAGACTTTGATCATTAATACCACAGAATAGCCAAAACTTATTCATTAATAATGAATCATTATATATAAAAGTAATTAGTGTTAGAATTCAATGAATATGTGTTTTTCTGTAATTATTTCATTATTTTTAAATGAGCGACAATTTTCTTTAAGCCTTTAATTTAGTTTATATTTAAAATACTATTAATTGCATAAAAATACATTAATTTTAGTCGAAAAGATAAACAACAGTACGAATAGGTTTGAGAACCAAAACGCAAAGAAAATACGGGAAAACTTTGATTTGATTTTGAAAACAGGTTTTCGGAACAAAACACTATTGGAATCGCAATCGAGTGAGGATTGAGACAATATATTGACCACTATTTTTGTTATATAAATAATCAAATGTTTAATCGCCAGACATAACCAAAATGAATGGAGAAATGAGCAAAAATGTAAGCGAATTGGGATCACAAGACTTGCCAAAAGCAAAATCACTTTTATCGGTTCCCAACGAGACTCCCAGAGTCATACGGCAACCGCAGACATCCGCCGCCTCACAGCCCACTCATGGCATACAATTGGGTAATCATTTGATACCACTAGGGGCTCCGCATCTGTCCTCACAATTAGCACCTAATCTGAACACAAGTATTCAAACAGCGGCCGCACGTCCGGCACTACTAACCCATACGGAATACGAGACCGAAGAGGTCGATGAAAGCGACGGTGTCTTCAAATCTAGCACAACCGACAGCACAACAGTCGCTCCCAGTCATGGCATTCCAGACATTGATTTTAAATCAATGGCTTTAAAGTTTCGAGAGATGGCCCGAGAGTTTGAGTTGAAAGCTGAACGGAAATCTAAAAGTATGAAAACCGATAGAAGTGTTGCCGTTAAAGACACTAAAACCAGTAGTAATGGCAAAAAAATAGCCCGAATGAGAGTCTATGACTTCAAGGTATATGATATAGAGTTCGCTGACGGGACTCATACCCAACAACAATCGTTTTAATGTAATTTTTAATAACTTATATGTACTTTTAATAAATTATTTACTGTATATAAGCAATGCGTTAATTCATTAACATTTTTGTTATTTCATTTCAATATTTCATGTTTTTAAACAATAAAAATTCTCGATTTTTATCATTATATCTCGCGATTGAAATTTAACTTATAATTTAAAAATAAGGATTAAATGATTTGAATTTAATTAACAGTAGTTTATACTAAAAAATGAGCCAAAATTCCCCAAACAATCCATTGATTAATATCTTATTGGAAGACTTGAATCCATTGATAATCAGTTATGGCTTTGAATGCGATAACAATAAGACAGATATAAGCGATCAGAGAATCAAACTATACTATGAATACCAAAGTCTTCGGCTAAAAGGCAAAGTATTGGTGGAAATGGTTTCGGTGCCACTCATGTCCTTCACTATGCACTGCACCGCTTATATACCACTTCTTGGGGACAGCACTTCCGTGGCGTTCAATTGGATGCGAGAGACAAGAGAATCGGTGATCAGTAGGTTTGAGAAGCAATTTATCAGACAATTGGTTCAACTTCTGTCTCATGGTATCAACGATTTGCCCGAAGAATTGTGTCTCAAGATTATCACTTATTTGCCGTACAATTCAATCATTCAATTATCGCAAACAAACAATTTCTGGCGCTATGTCTGCGACAACGACACCGTTTGGCACTCTATATATCGGCACAAATATACCGCTGTCTCCTATAATAACGCCAAACAGTCGACAGACATGTGGAAGAATCGCTTCAAAGACGAGTACATCCGACTCAAGACTATTCAAAGACGAAGAGATGAGTTCCTCAGAAACAGATCGCCATTACTTCACAATCGGTTTCATTTCCCTCTGAGAAGGACTCGAACTCTATAGAGAAGCGATCACTTCATTAATAGGTTGAGTAGAATTAAAAGCCAAGAATAAAACATTTTATTAAAAACAAAGAAATTCAAATCAGTAGAGATTTGTTTAAAATATTTACAAACAATTCAATGCAATTTATGGCCACGTTTTGCCAATACAAAAGTGTTGTATAAATTAGATTAATATAGATTAAGCAAAACAAATAGCATGTTTAGATTAGTATTTATAAAAAAGCGTTCAAACTTTTCATTAAAATCTCCATTAATTTAAATATGAAATATAATTACAAAATAAAAACTATTAAAGTTATGGATTATTCAAAGACTATAAAAATAGTTATAAAATATTGAACCAGTAATTTAAGTATTAGTCATGATTCCACATCACCTTAAGCACCAGGCGATGGTAACGTTTACTGATCCTATTCCTGATTTTTGAGGCAACACCAGCCACGCGACCAAACATATCCTTTTGATCCTCGGTCTCACTATCGCTTTGTTGGGCGTCGGACGGCATATAATGGTCTACTTTCTTATCCAAAAGGTCCACATAAAAGCTCACTTTACTGCCAATAAGGATATCAATATAACGGTAAAGTTTCTCAATGGCCACGTCTTTGTGCTGATCGGCCAATTGCCACATCTCGTCAAACTTGTGGGCGCCGTATACTTTCAGATCGTCCACTCGTTTCCAGGCCTCCACTTTGAAGTGTTCGGGCGCTACCAAAATGAACGGGTATTTCATCTCAACAATCTTGAGCCCATTGCAGGCCAGTGTGTCGGCCGCCATCAGCGGTTTGCCCATTGTCTTGTGTATCTTCGCTATGGTTTCCGAGTTCTTCACGTAATCGATGGTCTGTTCGGTGGTCTCGAGAGTGGTGTTCACGTATGGATTGCAACGCTTGATGTCTTTGTAGACTTTGGTGCCGATCCGGACGCCAGTGTTGATGATTGGGATCTGCATTAATAGCATGAAAAAGTTGTATTCAAAATCGTTTGCGGTCGACATTTTCAATAGTATTATCAATACGACTAAACACAAGAATTGAATGCAAATATTTAAGCTGTATTTAAAAGTGATATCAAAATCAATAGACTTCAAAGACTTAGAAAAACTAACTGAACACTCGCTTCGAGAACAGACTTTCAAGTGATATGTTTTGTGGATTTCACAGCTCTTTTATAGTCCTTTTGGTCTAAAGTTTAAATTTTTTTTATCAAAATTTTATTCATAGTATACTAGATATAATAAAACATGAGTATTTAAAAAACCTATTAATTTCTAAAGACCATTACTAACATCTTGATTAAAAAAGTGAAAATTTGGTGTAATCTTGAGGCATGGAAATGGGAGAATATCTTAAAAATATATCCCTATTATTAATATTTAATACTTAATATTTGCTTTAAATATTAATTTTATTTTGAATTATGATTTGTATTCCAAAGATTAATATTTGGATTTTATATTAACTTTAATAAAATAAAAACTTGTTGAACTGTGTTATCAAATTGTATGTAATTATAATATATTTTGCACTCTTATTACTTGATAATTAATATTTAAAAATTTTGTATTTTAGTTTACAATTTATTATAAACTTACTATACTTTTGATTTAAGAGTTCATAGAATTATTGAACAAAAGTGCAATTCTTTAATAAATGATGGAAATTAATTGATCGCTCGATCGACAGATTAAAATATATGAATAAATGTGATAAACCAAAAATATGACTAAACAATACATTTAATAATACATGAAATGTCAAGTTTTTACTTATTTGTAATTACGATTAAAATAAGGAAATCCTGTATTTTGTTTATTATTCTTGAAACAATTAATAACTTAAACTCTATATACTATAGGCTATATTTGTCCAGAATTTTCCAAGAATTTGTATCAAGATCAATAGATAACGCGTGTTATCGATGTGGGGTTTTATTGATATTTGTCCCTCAAATCTACTCCTGTTTTAACTTTATCTATGCGTTGAGTCGAGTCCTTGACTAACAATTGATATAAATTTTGTCGATTCTGTAAATCGAAAGCTTATGTTAAATGTTTCGCTTAGAAAACGATTCTCTCATTTAATCAAAAAAGTAAAACTCATTTTCATTTCTATAAACTTTTCATTTAATTTTACAAAAGTTTTTAATTTTGTTTTTTGTTTAAAGACTTTATACAGTGAACTAAATCACCGGAACAGACGGATATGGAGGTGACATCGTTGACATCAAACTTTAGGCAAATACCTGGCGCTAACTCAGCCCAAGAATAAGGTACAAGTGATGTACGTCTGGATCGACGGAACCGATGAACACGTGAGGGCGAAGACAAAGACCGTGTCATTCGTGCCGAAGGACGCCTCAGAGCTTCCCGTCTGGAACTTCGACGGCTCGTCGACGGGTCAGGCGGACGGCAGTAACGCAGACGTATATCTCCTGCCCGTTCAGCTCTACAACGACCCTTTCCGCGGCGGTAACAACAAGTTGGTTATGTGTGAGACCATCCGCTACAACAAGAACCCGACCGAATCCAACCACAGACACAGTTGCAAAATGGTTATGGATTTAGTCCAGGATCAACACCCGTGGTTTGGCATCGAACAGGAGTACACTTTGCTGGACGGCAACGACCGAAACAAGCCGTTGGGTTGGCCTCAGGGAGGTTTTCCCGGACCGCAGGGTCCCTACTATTGCGGTGTCGGCGCTAACCGTGTGTTCGGTCGGGACGTCGTTGAGACTCACTATAGGGCCTGTCTTTACGCCGGTATTGAGATCGCCGGCGAAAACGCCGAAGTAATGCCCTCTCAGTGGGAATTCCAGGTTTGCCATCAATTTCTTTACATTCATTCCCTATTATTGGCAGACATTTTGTCGTAAATGACATGAGAGGCCCATAATCTTTGCACTTCGACCGCAAATAAGCGATCAGATTAGATAATGTTTCGAAATGTCTGCCAAATCACACGCCTATTAAAAGCAAGTGAACTAATTTAGTGGTGGTTTGCCCTAAAAGGTGGGTCCGTGTGAAGGCGTCAACATCGGTGACGACCTATGGATGGCCCGATTCCTGTTGCACAGAGTGGCCGAAGACTTCCACATCGGTGTGTCGTTCGACCCGAAGCCGATCCCCGGCGANTTTCGAAATGTCTGCCAAATCACACGCCTATTAAAAGCAAGTGAACTAATTTAGTGGTGGTTTGCCCTAAAAGGTGGGTCCGTGTGAAGGCGTCAACATCGGTGACGACCTATGGATGGCCCGATTCCTGTTGCACAGAGTGGCCGAAGACTTCCACATCGGTGTGTCGTTCGACCCGAAGCCGATCCCCGGCGAGTGGAACGGCTCGGGAGCGCACACTAACTTCAGCACTAAAGCCATGCGAGAACCCGGAGGTATGGCTGAGATCGACAGAGCCATCGAGTGTTTGAGCCGTAATCACGACAAACATATCACGAAATACGACCCGAGAGGCGGTCTCGACAACGCCCGACGTTTGACCGGTCGTCTCGAGACGTCGAGCATTGACTCGTTCAGCTCAGGAGTGGCCAATCGCGGCGCCAGTGTTCGCATTCCGCATTCGGTGGCCGACGACGGCTACGGATACTTCGAGGACCGCCGGCCGTCTTCTAACTGCGACCCATATGTCGTGACGGAAGTCATTGTCCGCACGTGTTGTCTCAATGAGTAAACCCATCGTTATCTATGTCTAGTTAGTGGTGGATGTAATGGACGAACGGTCGCAAAGAGATAACACAACTATCGCATCAAAAATTTCTCCTAAAGTTTATAGTTATTTAAAGTTTAACAACTAATTCAACGAATTTATTGATTTATATTTTCATTTATTAATTGATAATAAAATCTTATTTACTAATAATATTCTGGTTCTTCTCTAATAAATACTTCAAACAAATTGTTTGTTTCTTTGTTTTTCTTTTCATAAACTCTATAAATAAATATCATTTTCGAAGAATTCATTGTTTTCTTCGGAGATATATTTTCTGTATATTTGAATTGTTTTTACATTAATTATTGAATATTATATTAACAGAATACATGATTTTGATTATAGTATACTGTATAATATTTATATAGTATATTATATTTAGATTATACTATATTTATAATTATAGCTGAAAAGATTAATATTAAATTTAATAGTGATTAAAAGTTATAAAATTGCATGGTAATTTTTATGTTAAAGCTCTCTAGATAATTACTATAATGACAGTCTCGCGACTCATTCTACTGCACAACACATTACTGATAGTATTGTTAAAATCACTTTAATTCAAATTAGTTTGAATTAAATTTAAACACATTTAAAAATTTAGTTAATCCTCAAATATCTGTTGTAATGAAACTAATTTACAATCTATTTGTAATTGCATTGATTGGTCTGAACTGTTGTCTTGTCGACAGCGGGTCCGCCAAAGGGGTGAACAGAGACTCGGATTCGGAAACAAATGCACAGCAAAACCAAGAGTCAAACCCGACGTACTATTGGGTCTATTATGTATTGATTGTGGTTTTCATAATTGCTGCGCTTGTAATCGCAATCGTGATGTATATGACATTTACATATAACCCAAAACCTGTGGTCAAAGTTATTGTAGTAAAACGACCCGAAGAGAAGAAACCCGTGAAGACTAAACCCAAACCAAATGACAACAAACCGAACGATACAAACAAAAAGAGCGATCAAATGAAAGACACAAATAGTAAGGAAACGAAAGACAATTCATCGGAATTGAAGGAAATGTTTTCCATAAAGATTGACGACTCCGACGACAACACGTCCACCGATGAGTCCAAACCCAAGAGCACGGGTGCGCCCATAAAACGGGCCGAAAGCACAAGTTTTAGCACTTCAAAGCATCCAACTCTTGGGCCCGAAAGCGCACCAATAGAACGGCATATGTTTTAAAATATGTTTCATATGTTTGCCAATAGTTTTGATTTTGTTTTATTTGAATCCCTTATTCAACGCTATTATAAGTTATTTTCTTATTTTTTCTGTATTTTTCGAAATTGTTTTAAACACAACAAATATGTTTATTAATTGTATTTCAAATAGTATTTTATAATACAATAAATTGTAATTAATTGCTGCAAAATCAGCCGTCTTTGACGAGATAAACTTTGGGATTTTCTGCGCCAAAAGTCTCGGCAAATATCTCGACGTTAGACGAGCCGTCCTTATCGTTAGTTTTCGCTTCAATCAAACTATAGTTAGCATTATTATTGGTAAATATAGTTGAATACGCCGTGTCCTCCAACTTCTTCACCATGTTTTGTGGATTCAGTATTTCCTGTGGTTTGCGGTTAAGTCGAAAATTTCTCATTAAATCCTTTAATTCAAGTAATTTCCGGTCCGACAACGCAGTCAATTGAGTATCGCTGAGAAGTGTGTTTACTTTGAGGCCAAAAGAGTTCACATTTTTGGTCACATCTAAAATAATTATCACTTTATTTAATTAGTTTTTGTTTTCTCGTGGAATGAATTGATTTTGAAAGACAGACCTCCAATTATACTAATACTCGGAAATATATTTAATGAATTAATTTGTATGAATAAAAGTGAATTCAAATATATAATAAATTTATAATACACCATTTTCATATTTATTAATTTTATATTCATATAACTATAAAATAAACAATTCATCCATAATTGAAATATAATATGCAATAGAATTTTTTATTTCAATTAAAGATACGAGTACAGCCCGTAAACCACGTTACCTACTCTTGTTTTCTACCCCCCTCTATAGTTTTCACTACCCTCCCACCCCTTATTGTATGTAACGCTGTTTTCTATTTTCCCTAGCATTACATTGTCTTATATTGCTTGATTATTGACAAAAAGTTAAATTTCACAATTTATATGAGTCCATTTATGCTTTCCTTATAGATAATAAGTGAGTTTTTAATTGAATATAATATATTTTTATTAATTTAGTCATAAAAACTATATTAAATAACAAGAATGTTGTGTTGTTTGTTGTGATCATTCTTATCTTTAGTCCATATTCTACTGATTAATCTCTTATTTAATTTAGCTTTTTGAAACAAACTCTTCACTCTCGCCATCCACTCGTCGGCCAAATCTATGATCTTTTTTCTCTCCATTTCGAGGTTTTCAGTGGTTGTTGACGTCGATGTGGTTGTTGTCTCAGTGGTGGTCGTGGTTGTAGTGGTGGTGGCGTTGTTCAGCTCTTTGTTCATGTGCTTCTTTTTGATGATGTATGTAATTAAGCGGTTGTTAGTTTTGGTTTTGTTGAACAGGTACTTCACATTTTTCAGCTTAGTGTCGGCTAAAGTAGATATGATTTTGTTTTCAATTATCTCCACATTGGATGTCGTGTTCGATGGAGGCGTAAGTTTTGTAGTCATTGTCTTGTTTGTAGATTTATTTTGTTTAGCCAACAATACATTATTAACTTTTGATACTAATTTGGTGCCAATTGAGGCTATATTTAATATATTGAAAGGTGACCTAGGTGTTTTAACAAATTCATTGTTAGATTTATTGTTTACTAAATTCAGTCCCTGAATGGATTTGGTCGAAGAATCCCGTCGTTTGATAGTGTTATGGTTTGGCATTGGATTAAGAAGCATAACATGTTTGCCTCTGGACGCCATCCGATTAGTGGTTATACGAGTCGTTAAGCCATTATTAGAATTAATATTTTTATTGTTCTTTTTATGATTGCCATTGATTTTCGAAACAGAAGTCTTGAGACTCTGATTGAGCGCAACATAACTCCCATTACTTAAGACTATATCTTCGATAGTCTTATCAAACAACTGACTGTTCATTTTGGTTGTGCTGACAATACCGCTGATTAGGTTCTTGAGATCCAACACTTGATTATCGCCGGCATATTGTGCCTGATTTTGGTGCTGATTAAACATAGAGCTGATCTCAAATATAGGCTCATTGAATCCAAGCATTTGCTTAAAGGGGTTGAATTGGAAACTGGATTCTTAGGGATTAATACATTAGATATTTTGTTTGTTTTTTAGTTTTGTTTAAAAATAAACAGTCTCTGTGTTTTGACTAAGCTGTGGCACTTTGTGCTAAAAATTTCTGCTATCAAGTTGTGATAAAATAGCCTCTATAGACACATACCATTGACTTTCTTTCGAGAGCTTTCTTTCGGTATAATAGACATGCATTTATTGATAAAAATTGTTTAAGATCCTCCTATTGTTTATATAATTTGAATCTAATTGACAAAACCTAGGGATAATTAAAATCTTAACTTAATACTCATAGATTCTAACGTGCTAGGTCAGGTTTTGTCGATTAGATTCAAATTATATAAACAATAGGAGGATCTTAAACAATTTTCATCAGTAAATGCATATCTATTATACCGAAAAAAAGCTCTCGAAAGAAAGTCAATGGTATGTGTCTATAGAGGCTTTTTTATCACTACTCGATAGCAGAAATTTTTAGCACAAAGTGCCACAGCTTAGTTTTGACAATAACTTACGGGTAAAGTCATCATGGGAATTTTTATTGGTGTTCAATATTTTTTGAAGTCCATCTTTTAGCAGGTTATTTGTGTTGCCATTCAGTAAGATTCCTCCCAAACCATTGGCTAAACTATTCTGACTAAATATGGATGAAATCAATGGTATATTGTTTACGGTGTCCACTGAGGACATAGAGGAAAACATAGAGGAGGACTGAGAGTTAGATGAACTGCTTTGCCGTTGATTTTGTGTATTAAAGACATTGAAGAGTTTGTTTGGCAGAAGTGCGGACAGGAACTGACTCTTTGCCGATTCACTAAGAATTGCGATCACAATATATAGCAGTAAACAAACCTGAGATTTCATAATTGATTTTTAAAAGGGTAACCATTTTAAAAGTTAATTAGTTTTTCAAAATTAATTATTTTCTAAAATGTTATTCAACCTAATAGTGAATCGCGTTATTATATAAATAGGTTTATGCATAAGATTCCCATTTATTGAAAAGTGGCGCAAAACTTATAAATTGATTAAAAACTGACTTTTTATTATAGTATGTGACAAAACACAGTATATGTGACACATATTATGTGTGTATGAATTATAGACTTTAATCCAGGTATTAATAAGGTGGAGGTTGAGGTTTAGGTTGAGGCATGTGTTTTAGTATCTAGAATTCTGATTCAAATGCCCAGCGTTTGGGTCAATACATGGGATTAATACTGAGATAGAGATTGATATTCAAATGTTTTTCCACAACCAATGAGTTGACAACAGAAAACTGTTTGTCATTTTATAATTATGGGTATTAAAGGGTCGTATTTCTGATCAATTTCTATCAGATTAACGCTTAATAATAGCCAAACTATACGTAAGATTCAGTTTATGAACACTTTAAATGTCAAATACTGTGACACAAAATAGTGATTAAACTTTTAAAGTAATGGGAATTTTACCCATTAATTAGTAAACTATTGTTTCGAATGGAAATAACAGACAATTTTAAGCAATTATTATCAGATTTGGATTAATTGTTAAATTATTAATTGAAGTGCATGTAAAACGAGTTAATTAAGTATTTTGTCTGCTATTATGCAGTAATGAGTGTATCGGCAATGAATGGCAAAAAGAAGGGAAGAGGTGTTGGAGTGAGAAAAGCAAAGAATTTGCTGAAGAAAGTGAAAAATGTGAACAAACCTGATATGGATTACGAATTCAATGTTTATAACAATTACTGGAATAATAAGAGGGAATGCAATAAAATTATAAACAAATTGTATTTGGGAAGCGATTCGCCGGTCAACGACTTGAAAACATTGGACAGACTTAATATCAAACGTATATTGAGTGTGAAGGAAGAGCCGGTGCCCGACGACAGCCGCTTCCCACACATCCAATACGATCACATCGAGGCCGGAGACTTTCCTGACCAGGACTTGCTCTCCACATTTGATTACTGCTATCATCTCATATCAAATGCTATCGCAAAGGGTTTGTATTTTTTTAGGGTTATATTAATAAATATACAAATTTGTAATTTAATTTGTTAAATAGTGTGTACTTCACTAATATTGTGATTGATATAAATAAATTATAATTAATGAATAGGAGAGACGATTTATGTGCACTGCGGGAGCGGTTCCTCAAGAAGTGCCACAATTGTGATGGCATTCCTCATGAAAAAGTACGGCAATAGTTATCAAGAGTCGAGGACTCGCGTCGAGAGCCGACGAAAAGTGTTTCCAAACGAGGGTTTTGTGGATCAGTTAAAGTTATACGAGAGGATGAACTACTCTATCGATGGCAGTAATCAAGAGTACCGACGATTTTTGCTCAAATCGCTAACCTATCAATTGAGATCCAACTCTCAAATGTCTACCACTGCCTGTGATCTCAGCTTAAAATCAATGCCCAAAAGTGATATCGAAAAAGAGTTGCCATTGATTTATGAATACAATTGTGTAAAGACTTATTTGGACAAAATTTTTGCCGCAGAGAATACCCTTCAATATAGTAACAAATGTGTGGACAAAGGGGATAGTTATGGCTGTTATAATTGTAATTATGAACTTTTCAATGAAATTAACATAATAGCCACCAATGGGTCCGACAATAAATGTGAAAATCTATTCATTGAACCGCTGGACACGTATTGTACTCATTCTGGTGGCCAAAAGTCAGGTTACATAAAATGTCCAAAATGTGATCATATGTTTGGCACTTATAATTGGCTTTTATATCAATGCGGTTGTGATTCACACCTATCATTGAGAGACTGTTTGGCCATTAAGGTGTTTTGGTCCAAGGTGGTCTCTAAACAGGATAAACATTAATATTAATTCTAATTTATATATCGGTTAGGTTTATGTAAATAACTACCAGTAAATTATTTTATTTATTGTAATTATTATAGCTTTTTATTGCATGTAATATATGTAGGAAATAATAATTTATAAAAAGTTATTTAGGGAAATTAATTAAAAATTAAATAAATTGTTTGAAATAATTAAATATAAAAAATTAGTTTATTGTAAATTTTAACAACAAATTAATTACAAAAATAACAACAAAAAAATAAAGAAATAAAAGTTTTACAAAAAACTTTAGTTGAGTTTTGTTTTATTAAAATATGAATTCCTATAGAAATCATAGAAGAGATAGAAGAAGAAAAAGGGTTGAGTCAATCCAAAGTAGAACCAGAAAACTGGATAACCTGTCTGTAGAAACAGCATAACAATGCCGTATACAATACCAAAAGCAAACTGCGCCAATTGTGCCTGGGTGATGTACTTCTTCCACCATAAATAAGGCCTGACCTCTGGGCCCAGCGTTGACAGAGCGTAATACGAGTACATAAGTATGTGTATGAATGAGTTGATTAGCCCAAAGAGACCGGTGGCCGGCATAACGCCGTTATGCTTGAGAAACATCCACCCGAACACCGGTACACACGTGTGATGGTAGAGGTGGAGGAATGTTATGTGCGATTGTTTCTTACGCAACACGAAGAGTACGGTGTCGAACAGGTCCAGGAATTTGGACATCAGATACCACCAGCCCATCGACAGTTCCCATAGCGTACGCGCCGACCAATCGTTACGGTCCGGGTATTTGAAGTCTAAGAAGCGTTTGCCGTAATCGCAGTGCACGACAACCATCGCGAAGAAGTAGGTGTTGATGGCCACCATCGCTGTGTTGTAGACCAACATTACTGATCGCAGTTGAAACGGTTCCCTATTCTTCATGAGTTTGGGTCCAATGGATGTGACAAACCATACATACGATGCCATAATGAGGCCGAATGTGAGCGGAGACATACCGACCACCGGATAGTGTTTAGTTCGCGGGTCCGGAAAGTCGAGCCAATAGTCGTAGAGCGCAAATCTTAATGTGGAGGAAGTGCTGCTATTTGTCATCGTGTGAGCCATGTCTTCAATTATCTTAAATTTTCACTTTATTTAATATCATTACTTATATCTTATAAAAGTTGTGTTTAAACTAAGCTTTTAACAAAATACTGAAAATTTGAAAAGAAATTTTTGTTTATTGCGAGCGAAAGGGTTTTATAAGAGAATTGTGGCATTTTATGCAAAAATTAAGTAAAAATTAGAGTTTCCTAATCTTTATAACTTATTGTCTTTTTTAAATTTTCAATGGTAAAACATCAATGTTATATTGTATGACAAATTGATTTGAAAATTAGTGCATTACTTTTACAAAATTATATTTACATTTTGTCAATAATTTAATTAAATCTATTGTATATTTATTAATTATAAATATTTATTTCAAAATATTAACCAATAATTCCCAAATATTGTTATACCGTAAACAATATAAAGTTGTATTATTTGAACACTAATTGACAATACAATACACAGTTTACATAAGATATCAATCAAAACTTATACTCCTTTACTAAATGTTTGCGATTACATAACAACAAGTTTTATATAACAATAATTGATTTCATATTTGTTTGGCATAACATTATTAAACAGATGTCAAATGCACTAATACTTTGATATACAGTAGTTATTCATGATTTTTCACTTTCAATATTATACAATATTTTGTACATTAAATAAATGTCTAATTTTCTTGGTTTTTCTTAACACCAATTGCTATTAAAAATATAACACAAGAGATAGCAAAAGAGATATAGTGAGTGTTATTTTAACAATAATAATTTTTTATTAATAAACTACAGTAGATATTAAGTTCAAGGATTTGTATCACAATATTTTGATTGTATTTTTATGTCAATTTAAATCTCGGTTGTTTAGAATTGAAGTTTAAGTTTAATTTTTAAAAAACCATATCGTGGACAAATTACTGTGAAAACAAAAACATATCAATCTATCACATATTTGTGATAAACTTACCAATCATTTTATTAATATTTAATATTTAATTAAATGTGAACATGAACAAATAACATTTATTATAAAATTACCATATCATTTACAAAACAGTACATAAATGTCTTTAAAAGTTGTTTTATAAAACAAAACTTATTTCTTAGGTGTGAATATTTATTATTGATATTTAATCCATTCAAAAGTCTTAATGTTAACAAATAAATGCTTAATAAAATTATTATCATTTGCTTTAAATTTTTTGTTTAAGTCTGTTATACAAATATGTGTTAAAAGTATCTCAAATAAATATCAATATTTATTTATAATATTATTTGTCTTAAGAAAATTGTTTAATATTTAACAAATAATTTCAAATATGAAAATAAACGACAACTCAATCGATAAAAACAATAATATTATCGACAAAATTACTGTTAAAAGAGAGAAGTCATACAAAATTCAAATTGTTTGGCGAAATGTTATATCGATGTCATTATTACATGTGTTGGGCTTTTATGGCTGGTATTTAGGTATCAAATACTCAAACTGGCAGTCCTTCCTGTGGGCCTATTTTGTGGGCTTCTTCGCCGGTTTCGGTGTGTTATGCGGCGCCCATCGGCTCTGGACTCACCGCTCATATCAGGCCCACTGGTCTCTACGCGTGCTGTTAATGATTTTGCAGACTCTGTCCCTCCAGAACGACATCTACGAGTGGTGTCGCGACCATAGAGTACACCATAAGTGGTCCGAAACAGACGCCGATCCGCACAACTCGCGGCGCGGCTTCTTCTTCGCACACATGGGTTGGCTTTTGTGTCGAAAACATCCCGAAGTGATAGCAAAAGGCCAGACCATCGATATGTCCGACGTCTGGGCCGACCCTATAGTCCGTTTTCAACGTAGATTTTATATTCCACTCGTGAGTTGACATTGTTTTATGAATTTAAATGTTAAAAATTAAAATAACTATTACACCAAGGTAATATTAATCTGGGGAGTGATCCCAATCACCGTGCCCATGTATTTCTGGAATGAGCCATTTTTGCGGGCATTTTTTGGCAATATGTTCCGGTATATAATGAGTCTGCATCAGGCGTGGCTCGTCAACTCGGCCGCACACATCTACGGCAACCGGTGAGCTATAAATAAACCAATATTATATAACTTAAGCTTAATTATAGTCATATTCTTACCATAATCTAACAGTCCCTATGACAAGCGAATAGAGCCGCGAGAAAACATTATGGTTCAGTATTTGTCGGGCGGAGAGGGATATCATAATTATCACCACACGTTAGTCTTCTCGCATATCATATATCAGATGATTATATTATTATATCTGAAATTATATAGAGTTTACAACTGAATCTCTCTCTCTCTCTCTCTCTCTCTCTCTCTCTCTCTCTCTTCCTCATAGATATCCATGGGATTACTCGGCGTCTGAATACGGCTGGAAAGATAACTTTAATATCGCCACAGCTTTTATAGATCTATTCGCAGTGTTAGGTCTGGCATACGATCGGAAGTCAGTTCCCAAACCTGTAATCAAGAGGAGAATCACTGGAACAGGAGATGGAAGTGAATACCGGTCTATACAGAGCAAGACATTGGATCGCATGATAGCCATCGTTGTGATGACTTGGCCGCTATGGCTCTCATATACTGTCAGCACATTTATTAGATAATCCCACAAAACAGTGCTATCATTATATTGAAAAACATTTATAAATTTAATTATAATTCTATATATAAAACTATTTTAGTATCAAAACATTTTTATTTTTAATTAAACATATCCTTATAGACAAATAAATAGTTCTATTGAATTTTACTAATATTATACATGTTAAATAAATTATCGATTTAATTAACTATAAATTCCTGGGAAGTAATTGATACCAAATATAATACTTTTATTTGTATGAAATGTTTTCAATCGTTACATAAGTATAGTTTGAATAAAAATATAAATCCAATACAAAAATTGTTTGATACGAATTCTATGCGTAAATTGTTTTTATAAATACATTTGGCATCACATCCTCACTACTGAATACATCCGTCAAAACCAACTGAACAAACAGTATATGTTTTAGCATTAAATTAATTTTTTCTGGTTAAAAGTGCCTCAAAATCTAGGCTTTTGATCAATTATATAATTGAATTCACAAATTATAAAGAGTTAGTGTAAAATGCAAGCCATTAAGTGTGTGGTTGTCGGCGACGGGTATGCATTTTAAACTAGATTTATCTAAATTATTAAGTGTATTTAATTAATTAACATTTATGTAGAGCTGTGGGTAAAACATGTCTATTGATAAGCTATACAACAAATGCCTTTCCCGGCGAATACATCCCAACAGTGTATGTATTGATTAAATTAAATATTACATGAATTTAATAAAAATAACTTTATTATTAAAAGATTCGACAATTATTCAGCTAATGTTATGGTTGACGGAAAGCCCATAAATCTGGGCCTTTGGGATACGGCTGGTCAGGAGGATTACGATCGACTGAGACCACTCTCCTATCCACAAACGGTACATTCAATTTTTCAATTAATATTTATAAATTAATTAATAATTATATAAAATTAATTGTGTATGTATAATAATTACATTATTATAAAGTAAATATACAAAATTATGTAAAACAAAACATACAAATATAAATATAACTTATACAAAATGAAATGATTGCAAAAAACTAAATGATTGCTTTTATTACTTTGAAAGGATGTGTTTCTAATCTGTTTCTCTCTCGTAAATCCGGCCTCATTTGAAAACGTTAGGTCAAAGGTAAGCCTTCCGTCACATTGTGTTAATGCCATAAACTATATGAAACTCATCGCTATTACTGATCAGTGGTATCCAGAGGTGAGCCATCACTGTCCGCAAACACCCATCATATTAGTGGGAACTAAACTGGATCTGAGAGACGACGCGAAGACGATCGACAAACTGAAAGACCGAAAGCTGAGTCCCGTGTCGTACGCACAGGGATTGTCAATGGCTAAGGATATCGGTTCCACTAAATACCAGGAGTGTTCGGCTCTCACCCAAAAGGGCCTCAAGAATGTGTTCGATGAGGCCATCCGTGCCGTCCTCTGCCCCAAGACTAAGCCCAAGAGGCAACACAAATGCTCTCTTATTTGAGTGACAATTATTGTGTAGTTTTAATGCAATTTTCAGCGATTATTGCAATTATTTATCTAACCATTGGCTAAATTGAATTTAACCCACAATTAGTATTTATTGTAAACCTATAGAAATACGTTTAGTTTATTCATAAAATATCAATAATTATTACAATAAAACTATAATTTGAGTTAAAATTAATGCACAAATTATTATATTATGATAAAAACATTTGATTATAAAACTTAAAATTAATTTAATTTAAAATAAACTAAAATTGTTAATTATTATAATAAAAACTATTGATATATTCTTCAAAAGAGGTTTCCTCTTCCTCCTCCTCCTCTACTTCTGATGTTTCCACTTCTTCCTCCTCTTCATCGTATTCTTCGGATTCTTCTTCTGATTCATTCGGTTCTTCTTCTTCGTCCTCTTCTTCTTCGGATTCTTCCGGTTCTTCTTCGGAAGTTTCCGATGAATCAGACGAAGACTCGTGTTTAGCGGTCTGTTTGTGCCGTAATTGTGTAAAGCAATTGTGACTCTTCTTCGGCGGCGAGTCATCTGAATCTGAAGAGTCCGAAGAACTCGTCTCAATCTTTACCGTAGTTATCGACTCCTCCTCAGAATCGGACGTGTCATCTGAAGATGACTCGCACTTCTTGGCCGAAGTCTTTGGCGATGGTTTTTGTGCGCCCGATATGTCGGCCGTGTATTCATCCAAATCGGACGAGTCGTCCGAAGAGCTCGAGTCGTGTTTGTGGGCCTCTTTGGTCGCACACAACGGCCTCTTCACGGGTTTGGGCGCTTCCGACTCAAACATTAGTTTGCGTTTCGCAGAGTTAGTAGAGTTGGTGTCCGACGGCTTCATTGTCTGCAACTGCACTCTCAGTCTGATCTCATCCAACATCAAACCGATCCGCTTCTCCTCAATGTCTCGCAGTTGTCGTCTAATTAGATCCGCTTTTGAACACATTTCTGGTGTCCGTCAAAGAAATCGGGACTAAAATGCGATACAATTTGATAAAACTTGTGGATATGTATTGTGTAGACAACGGGATGTCAGCACCGGTTGAGCCAAACATACAGTCTGTTTGCTGTCATGTATTGAATGCAAAAACAAATGCAAAACAAAAAAGTGTATAAAAGTGTGCGAAAAGTGTTGTGAAAAACACAGAAACAACTGTTTGTTTGCCAAACACTTCACACAAACTCTTCGCTCACAACCAACTGATCCCAAGAAGCGGACACACATATGGCGTTACTATCACTGACGGGTCGGGTGTCGGCCAATCACTTGCGCCGATACGCGTCGACTGCGGCGCCCAAAGACAAAGACCACTTCCATCTGGTGGTTGTGGGCGGCGGTGCCGGCGGTCTGTCCATCGCATCCAAGTTCACGGAAGTGCTCACCACTCTAGACAAGGGCAAAGTGGCCGTCATTGAGCCCAGCGATGTATGCGCACCGTATTGTCACTCAAAGTGTCCATCACTTACAATCTGATCTCATTTTGCAGATGCATTACTATCAGCCGATGTGGACTCTGGTGGGCGCCGGCATTAAGACACTCGACCAATCGGGTCGTCCGATGGCCAAAGTGATGCCCAAAGGTGTCAAATGGATCAAAGACCGCGCGATGGCCATCGAGCCCGACCAGAATCGGGTGCGACTGTCCGGCGCCAACGGAACCATTACCTACGACTACCTTCTGGTGGCCGTCGGTATTAACATTGATTGGCATAAGATTGTCGGTCTCGAGGAGGCGCTGACGACACCCGGCGTTTGCTCTAACTATTCG